AAATGATGAAAATGATGAAAATGATGAAAATGATGAAAATGATGAAAATGATGAAAATGATGAAAATGATGAAAATGATGAAAATGATGAAAATGGCTGCACTCACTCAATCAAGGCCTGTCGTGCCTCCTGGCCCATCTTCTCGATCTCTTCGCTACTCCTTCGCGGGCTCATGGTCCGCGCATCGCTCTCGTCGTACTCCTCCTCTTTTAGCTCAACGTGCGGGCTGTCGCGCGGTATTATGATGGTGCCGCTGGACTTCCTGCTGCCCAGCTTCGGGCGCTGTAGCTTCGACGAGTCTGACCTGGCGTCATTTTCGAGGCACGACGAGGTCGAGGATGACGAACTCATATCTTCGTTGTCGGAGTGGTTAGAGAGGTGGACGGCGGGCGAGGCCATGGGCGGAGGGACCGCGGGCAACGCGTGCTCCTGCGACATGGCTGGATATATGAGAGGCGCCGAGGTGGGAGAAGCTGTCGTGAGGGGAGACAGTCGAGGAGAGGCGTGTCGTGAGAGGCGGCGTGGTGTTGAGCGTGGACGCCAAGGTTGTGCCTGGTGGTGCTGGAGTAGGTGCAGCTGCCGGAAAGCAGAGCAGTCGAGGGTGTGGTATAGAGGGCGGGAGCGTAGTGGACGGGAGGCAGTTGGGGGAGGCTAGCGATGGCGTAGTGGCGGCGCTACTGTGCGTGGACCAAGGACCCTGGAGGAGAAACACTGGGTTCGGCGCAGGAGTGGGCATTCGGGGAGGTGCTGGGGTTGAGGACAGGTTCGGCGAGCGAGGGCGGGACCGGGTGCCGGATGCAGCGTAGAAGCAGCCGTTGCGGCGGTCAAAGGCGGCGGGGGCGCGAGGGTTGCAGCGGAGCTTTTGGCTGGTGATGGTCAGCGGTGCGGCGTGGGAAGATGACGATCTCCAGCGCTCCACCGCGCACTCGGTCAGAACACCTTGGCTCCAACTCTTCGGCAAGCGAGCCGCCCATGCAGCCCCGGGTCGTCGCAGCCGTCGCCCTCGCTGGCGGCCACCGGCGTCACCAGGCCCGCCCTGCGCTGCTGGACGCTGGTGTTGAGGCACGCCCGCATGCGCAGGCTGCAGCGGGCACCGTTGCGGCGGCGTCGTCGCGGAAAGCCTCCAGCCACCACGGGCAAAAAAGCCCTCGGGCGATCGCTGCAGACGCGGGAATGGATCGGCGGGCCCCAATGATGTAATGCGCCGTGGTGCGACGTCCAAGGCGACGTCGACGGCTCTGGCAGACGGGGGGCGCTGCGGGCATCACTGCCCCAACCACTCCGATGCCAGGCTGCCAGGCGCTTTACGCAGGGCAAATTCGGCAATCTCCCCACGATGCCGTCATGGGAGTTGGCCTCTGCCAATTGCCTCCCCGCGTCCTCCCCATTCGTCCGCCACCGCGCTGCGCTTTTGCAACCTCAACTTCGCCATCACCCGTCTCAGCCCCTCCCCTCAGCCGTCTCCCCTCACACATCACAGGTGTGCAGGTGTTAGGCCTTCATACATCCATTGATATGAATACGGCAGCGTACGGACAAGTGAACGAGGCTGCTAGAAAGGCCGGCACGCCTCGCTATGCCTTGCCCTCGCCGCCTTCTGCCGTCACCGCTGTGTGGCTGGGGCCAAAAGAACAGACACCACACATCACAGCACCTGCACTTTACGACACAGCGTAACAGATCCCCGTCTGTCCAGTCGATCTTTACGCCTTCGAAGCGGTCACACGGAACTCAAACGTCGTCGGAAGCATGGATGCTACGTTTGATCGTCGCCCAAAGCAAAGCAACCACCGTCCAGTCACGGGCCGCACGAAAGCCCTCTCTCTGATTGCTCTCCTAGGCATCCCGTCCGCATCCCCGCTGCTTTAGAGCAAGTCGCCCATAGCCTGTGGGGGGATTTCTCTACACGTGATTATAGTCGCCGTCACACGGCACTACCTCTCGAATGCCTGTTCCCAAATTAGGCTTCTTAGCTTCTCACGATACAAAGGTAGCATGCACGAGTTGTGTCTGTGTCTTCGAGAAAGTCAGATCAAAAGGAGTGTCAGACTACAAGACCATAGGTTTGACTACGGTCAAGGCAGGCTTCCTTCCCTGCCGCTTCGTTCAAGTCTGTGTCATCTTTTCCCCTCTCCTGTTACGGCCATATAGCGGTCAGGCTTTGATGCACGATGATCTGTCCATATCTCTTCACTCCCCACGTCCGCCCTCGCATGTATGCGGTGTTGTGGATTCCTAGGGGGTCAGGATCGTGGAGCCCAAATTAGGACTGGTCCTTGACGATCTTCCAGCACGAAACGGTCGGATCGGATGACTCCCTTCGCTACCATCCGGGGAAGACACCGCCGCCTATGTGTAGGTGGGGAGCTGACAGGTATTCTCTTTGCCAGTTGGACAGATAAGGTGATAAGCTGCATATCACGTCTTATTAGGTTCTGCAGTAGGTTAGTTTCAAATAACCCGAGACCAGGAGAAGCCCCTTGTCACAACACACTTGGGACTCGCGCCGAAGAATAGACTCTTTGTTCTTCATCATGCAGCTCTCGCCCCAAACGTAATTATGCCTCAGTCAACCTCCCCCCTAAGAACGTCGTCGCCAATTTATACGTGCTGTTGAACTCCAATTAACACCGACCGCAAACAATGACCCGATCGAGCTTAATGCTAACTTATAGCTATTGGATGTTTTCCTTCCACTAGCACTAACCACCACACCTCTCCTATCATGACACGAACACCACAGGTAACAAGTTTCGCACATTAGAACCAATCATCATAGCTTAGGCATCGTCAGTTTCAGCGTCCCCCGCCAAGCACCCTCTTAACTCCCCAACATCCCACCTTAGCTCTGCCGTAGAAAAAAACAGGATGTGATTCTAACGTCATAATCCATCGTCTCTCCTATACGGTAACCCGCGGCCCTCCTGAGATTGGGCAGAATGCGGATCGGGTGGGACGTTTAACCGCAAGCTCGAGCTGGAAGAGATGGATCCGGTGGAAGGGAGTAACCGAGTGGGCGGACACAGCGTCCAGCAACTTCGAGGCTCGGCGGGCATCCACATACTCAAAAATTGGCTATCGCTTTCTAAATCTTCACCAACATAGGACGCCGAGACTCAGCCCTAAATCGAACCGCTAGGACATCCAATACCACAGCATCCGGAACGATCGAGGTCGGCCACGCCACGCACTGGTCACGGCATCGAGCCGTGCCGGAAGTTTCGAACCGGTATTCATCAGCTGAACGAACAGCAGACATCACGACAGGCCTGGCCTTCCCACCCATCCGAGTATCACCGGCCGGCCTCAAACCCGTTTACGCTCTATCAGCTTTCCCGCACCTCGTCGCAGCGCTAGATGCAGTGGCTCACTGCTACATACCAGACCTGAAGGAGATCCCGTGCTCACTCACGAAGACGAGAACGAGGCGATCACGCAGCGCCCACGCCTACCCAAGCCCCGGCACGGAGTTTCACAAATACCACACCCCCTAGAGACAACGACGTGGTGGACGGTGAGGCGGATACAGCATCCAACCGCGTCACTACGGCGTTCGAATGGCCATGAAGACGGTTCCGCCTGGGTGCTTCGGGACCGCGCCGATGCTGAACAAGACTACTCCACAGGCTGCTGTAGCCCATTATCCTCTTCATATGCCGAAAATGACAGGGAGAGCTACCGTGAGAGTATGGAAGTCAATGGAAGTCAATGGAAGTAATGGGAGGAGAACCATGTAGAGGCACTGAGCGTTTTTAGGTATCAGGTGGGATTTGCGTGCTTTTGAGAGAAGAAGCTTTGGATTAGACTGGTGAGATGGAGTTTTAGTAGGACGTGCATAGGGTAGGACGCGGAGAACTCGGCGGAGGTTCGGATGGTAGGTTTTGTGTGAGTTTGTTGGGAAGAAGTGATAGATGGTTCAGTAGACGTATCAGTTTCGGTAAATCTCTACGTAAAAAGAGGGGTTCTTTACTGCGCAGAGGGGTTCAGAAAGTCCCCAGAACATGCTCTCTGGGTCGGCCTTGTGTGCTTTCCTGTTGGAAGAAGAATAAATTGGAGTTATGGTAAATGGGTTCCTGACCATGGCGGCTTGATACGTAGAGGCTCATCTCAGCCTCAAACGATCGCCGTGGCCGAGGGAGCATCATAACATCTATATTGGCCTCGACATCTTCGACAAGCAAACCTTTACTAGGGCTTCCTATGTAGGTGAAGCACCGCCAAACCCATTGTGACTTCAACCTCTCAGCCCGCCACTAATAGCACAGCAGCCGCCGAAGGAAACACCATAGTGCAGGTTCCAGGAAAAACTCCTTTTGTTACCTTTACTCCGACTTACAGTTGCTACGACTCGGATCTGTACTGCGATGGTATGTACATACGACGATCAGGGGCCTGTGCGAGTGCAATCCGGCATTCTCTGCTCATGGTAAGACCATGAGGGGTGAATACACCGTTGTCTACATCGGTTAGGAAAAGACATCGCGGTTGTGATTTGACAGGGAGCTGACACTAAGATATCGACGGGATACCCTTTCTACAGTTGGACTATAAATACGCTTGGGTCGAGAGATACGGAGACGCTGCTTTCATGTGTATCAACCTTGATGCTCTCTTTCAGAAGATATGATCATATTTCCTGCAATCAGAGGGCTATGCCTGCTGATTCTTCAACCCGTAAGTGCGATAGCGTAGAGATATGGCATCTGACTGAAGGCTCTTTCCTCGACTGAAAGCGTGCCCTCAATGATGATGGCCGAAATAACCGAAGTAGACGGAGTTTGAGACATACAAGCACCACCAAAGCGTAAGTTGGGACAGGCGACGTGTTCCATCAGAAGCTGAAGGGCTGTGAGCTTGTGCTCATTTAGAGCATTACTTAAGCAGAAAGGTCTGTGTGACTGGTTACAAATGATCTATATTTAGTATGGAAGCCAGAGTAGAAGATATGCTGCTTTGCCCAAAGTATTACATACATAGACACCTGGGTACCCGTGAAAGTTTCCTTGTAGTGGAGCATTAGACCAATTGAGACAACCCCTGAAAAGAAGCTCGCCGCTCTGACCCTCGGACCCTGCAGGTGTTTGCGGCGTTTGCGATGTACCCAATTAGCGTCTTTTGCATGTACGACAGGGCGCTTACTATGCTTGCCGCCAGCGTTCATGCACACAGACTTGAAACTCCCTATTTAGAGCTGCGGCACAGGATGGCAGTCTCCGGGCGGTCTCTGTTCCCAGCTGCGGCACAGTAAATGACGCTTCTCCACATTATATGATGGCCTGGCGCCTGGCACGGCGTCCGTTCACTGTGTACGGCGTGTGGATCATGTCGACGATGCATTCGAAAGGCATACCTGAAGTGCGCCTTACTGCTAAACACATTCGCTACGGTTCATTTGCACTTTTCATCGTCTTCGTCTGCAGTCTAGGCCTCTGGTCTGATTCTATTCTATTTCCTCTGCACAAGCTCTCTCCTATTGCTGCCAGCCTCGAACTCCCAGCCAACTCTACACTTGGATTTGGAGCTTTACTTGCTGTCTCACCATCAACCTCCCCGCGTCGCCATGGTCTTATACAAGCGGCGAATGTCACGGACATTCAGATCACATTCCCTGAATTGCCGAAATGGACGGACGAAGATGAGCAAAACTTCAGGGCTCCGAGTGGCGTCGGAGATTCGAGTCTTACGAAAGGCATGATATTTGCGTGGCTGAGCCATTTGCATGTATTGAGATGGTAGGTGATTTTCTCCTTTTTTGACTATAGTAGCTCACAGTGTTTAGGTTTCTGGAATCTGGCCTAGAGACTGCGCTCATCATGGAAGATGATATGGACTGGGACATACATCTCCGGACTCTGCAAATTCCTCGAGTCGCCGCCTCGATCCGTTCGCTTTTCAACCAAACCAAAGATCCATCCCTTTACTACTACGGCGACCTCAATCGCTGGGATATGATCTATCTTGGTCATTTCGACCGCTGGAGCTGGCTAGGAACAGAGATTGGTGTTGGCGTCCTGATTCCGTCAAATCTTACGGATCACCCACACCGATACATACTAGATGACACCATGCCGCCGCGTTACGACATGCATCCAGAAATGGCATCTGTCCTCACAGCCCTGGACGTGCCCCCAAACACCCGGATCCTGCATCCCTCAAAGTTCCCCTTCGGTAGCTGGGCGTATGCCGTCACCCGAGAATCTGCGGCTCGGATTCTCTCTGACGACGTGGCGAGCGCGGCAGCCCCAAAATGGGCACAAATGGACTCGTTGGACAACGCCTTGTCACGGGCCTGTGGAGGTGGAGCGTTGCGGTGCTACACAGTCAACCCGGAGATCTTCCATCACCTAGAGGGTCCGAAGAATTCACTGATCGACTACAATTATGACCGCGCGGAGAAGTCCGAGGCTGTGATCAACCAAAGACTTCGTACAGGGGAGACGGATCACATCCGGTGTGGGTTTGCAAGTGGGCATTTTGAGTTTGGTAATAATACGAAGCTCTTGAAGCACTTCCAAAAGGAAGTAGGAAGGAAAGGGAGGTGTTTGAAACCTGGCCGTGATGCGCTTGAGTAAAGAAAGACGCACTCCGTGTAGATGTAATTATACTAGACAATCAAATAGATGCTTGGGTTTCAAGATTGTGCTTTTGAGATTTGCCTGAACAGCTTGCAACAGATGTGGTGAGCTGAGAGAGATGGGTATGAAGTATCATGGTAAATTTTTGAACAGATGAGTCGCTCATATGGTATCTCTGTGCAGGTACAGATTCGAGTCCTGTCTCCTCCCCTTTCAAGTCTCGAACATCAATGCTCTCTAGATCCCAAGATGGAGACACCAAACTCACCCAATGAGTGACTCGTTTGGAGTCTCCCGGAGCGTGGAGCGCTGCTTCGTTGAGGAAAAGAACCTCTGGACAGGACATTTGCGTGCCGGCCGCGCATTAGTCTAATAAGGTACGCAACAGAATATCTACAAGGCTCTCGTATTCGCGCAGCTCGTATCGACGCATGTAGGTTCGGCCCTTGTTAACGTAAAGTCGTCAATGGGTGCGTGGCAGTCTCATTCTTCCTTGGGGCTGGGTTTGGGACCCATACAGGTCACCAGTTTCATCGACCGCGAAGCGCTGTTGCATCTGGCACTATGCCAAATGTTGTCCGTCATTTCCTGCTCGACCACGTCTTTATTATCTTCCGACGGTCCGTTGATGAGACTGTCCTTCTCTCCGGCGATCTCGTGGTGGTGAAAGAGCTCCGGGTTGACACTGACACAGCGCAACTCTTGTCCCTTGCAACGTATGTGTAGCCAGATGTCGAAGCCCTCAGAGCCATGATCATCGCGCGTTAGTATTTTCTTTGCGCCCTCCGCGGTGATCGCGTATGCGTATGTGCAGATGGGTCCTGCAGAGAAGTGAATCCAGCGGGTGTGTTTTGGATCAGGCGACACGGCCCCCTCCCAGGAGTTGATGTACGGAGGCACGGTGGGATCCGCGAAAGTTATGGGCTTTGGGTCGTAGACAACGTTCTCGCCGCAGTGGCCCAGCCACAAGACATCCCATTCCGTCCCATATGGAGGCATGTGGAATGCGGGCTGTCCTGGCTCTTGGACAGGCGTCTTGTATCTCGTCAAGTTTCGCACCGCCTCCGCTATTATTGGCATCTCCAACCTAATTCCGATGTCCCAATCCGCGTCGTCTTCCAGTATGAGGGACGTCGCGTGTGTTGCGGCTGTTTTCAGGGCGTTCAGATGACCGAGCCATGACATTGCGCCCCCCTTCGACATCGGGTGTTTAGCTATGATAGCATTTGTGTCCTCGTCTGTCCACACCGGCTGCACGGGAATCTGGATATTGAGGCCAGTATACGCAGCGGCTTTCAGTAGGCCATCTTTTCGCCATCGGTATCGTGGAGGAGCTGTTGGGGGCGCAACCGCGAGGAGTGCTGCAAACTTCGCAAAGTTAGAGAGGGGAGTAGATGCTTCTAAGGGATGGAAGTACACACTCCTAATGTCGCGTTGCCGGCGCCATAGTCCACGATTCTCCGAGTCCAGAAGTCATTCAGATGGAAACGCCGTACTAAGAAGATCGCGTTGAACGCCAGCAGACCAGCAATCAAGCATTTCACGCGAAAAGAATTTAGAAACGGAAACGATATCATGGTATACATGCGATGCAAAGATTAGACACGGTACGAAAGGGCCTCATCGCGGGCCTTCACGATGACTTGAATGCGGCACAGCAGAGTAAGTGGTTTTCGAAACCTACGGCCTTCATCCATACCGCGATGAGATGCCCAGGGGCTCTCTAGCCGCTGCGCCTAGTTAGTGCGCCCAGTCAGTGCGCCCGTCTGTTAGCCGGCTTCTCATGGATGTACAATAACCGCTGCCGCTAAAACCAAACGAATGCGGGCCGTCGCGCAGGGACTGCAATCTTCAAACTCCTGACTCTCAACACATCTCAAAATCAACTTTAGGAGATGCCTCGCACATAGAAACATCGGCTTGGTGTCCACGAAAAGCACATCTTGGACCGCCTAGGGACGCGGTGCTGCATGTTTCATCCTCTCTGCTCCGGAGCCGACTTGGCGACCCCCTGAATTCATGAATCCCCTGCATCGACAACGGCTGCTGGTTCTCTATACGAGATTAGAGCAAGATAGTGGCCTCATGATGTTGCCCGACTAGCTCCAGCCACATCTCGATGATCCTGGCCTCAGGAGAAAGCCGAGGGAGAAATCCACTAACCCTCGCCTGGGGAGTCTGCTACCCGGATTCCGGTCAAATGGGAGCTGTGAGCCTTGCAGATTCTACCCTGTGGACAAGCCACGGAGAACATCTCTGACTGCCAACAGTATGATGGTATACAGGCCTGGACTTCTAACGATACACGCCGTCCCTGTCTGGGATATGCTAGCCTTCCAGCCTATTGTCCTCTCTAGCATTAACATATTCCGTTCCTTCAGGCGGTCCCCGTGCACACACAGTGCCAGCCTCTTTACCCTTCAGCGGCTGTCGCGTTGGGCGCCTGCTTGGACTCTGTGATTGAGCTGCCCTTGTAGCAGAACTCCGTGAATGCTACATCCATGGTTATTTATATGCAGCACCTGGTAAGTGAGTTTCAGAGTAGCCGCTGCGCCCTGGCCATGTGCTGTGCCGCACTACCAAGCTCAAGGCCACAATCATGGAAAAGGTAGGCTGTACGACTGTGAGCGCATCTCATGTGGGTCAGCCATCTCTTCACTGCCTCATTCTCTTCATTCCTCGCGCCTAGTCATCGTACTTCGCTCTTTTCATGATGGCGGGTACGGGTGTCACCGTCATGTTGCTTCTACTGTCTCTGTTATTGAGTATCCCAATCAATGCACAGAAAAACAATTGCAGTTTTGCGCCCGTCAACCTTCCCATACGACTGGTAGGGCTGCCGAATCAAGGCTTCACGCGAGGAGCTTACCTTGCGATGGGAACTCCTCGACAGAACTTCAGTGCCTTGCCTATGGCGTGAGTATATGCTCGAGCTAGTCGGGGAATAGCAGTGTAACTGACCTCTATCAGGGATGTCAACAACACCTTTCTCTATCATCAAGACGACAAATGCCAACATACCGAAGCGGCATGCATGACGTATCGAGGAGGATTTTTCGAGCCCGAGAACTCCCCTACCTATGTTAACCAGAGCGCTCCCAATGTCAACCTTAATCCATACTTCGAGAGCTCCGAAAAACTCACCGACGGAGGAACCCTTGCCCAGGACAAGCTTACGCTGCTCGATAATGTGACTATCTCAGATTTTCCATTTGGCCTCGTCAACCAAAGTGTCAATACGGGAAGACTCACAAACGCCGCCGGGATCGCATCTATTGGTCTTGGGAGGAATTCGACAATATTGTCCTTGCTGAAGAAAGCTGGTACAATTGGTTCAAAGAGCTATGGCTTTTGGTGGGGTCAAGACGGAGCAACAGCACCGGCGCGGATGAATGGAAATTTGGTCCTAGGAGGCTATGATCGAGCCAAGATCAAGGACATGTCAAATAATCACACAGACAGGCTCACAGCACCAGGAACCTGCACACAGGGCATGCTCATTACCTTTACCGAAATCAAACTAAACTTCCCAAATGGGTCGGAACCGAACCTCCTGGATCAATTCATTGGCGGCTATAACCTCCAAGCATGTATCTGTACTTCTTGTGCAATGGTCATGTCTATGCCTTTGGATCCTTATTTTTCACGTTGGGTGGACTGGACAGAAGCCGTCCCTGTCGGCCGCTCTGTTGGAATCAACTTCTTCACCATGCTGTATGCTGGTGGTGAGGCATATCAGGGGGACCTTACCTTTACAACCGACGCTGGTCTCTCCATACGTATTCCGAACAGCCAGCTAGTTCTTCCAGACCTCACTATTGCGGACGACGGAAGCATCGCTACCAATACCAGTGTGCAAGATCTCATGATTTACAGTCTTCAAGATGTAAACAAAAATGATATGCCACGCATCGGCAGATATTTTTTCACGTCAGCTTACTTGCACGTCAACAACGAGGCCAACACATACACAATATGGGAAGCAAGTCCGACTACAAATACCGACGTAGTAGCCGTCTTGGACGATGACGTGGCAAAAGAATGCAACGTCGTCCAGCCGAAGGCCACCCCCGCAGAATCCTCTGCATCGGTCCCAAGTAGTACCTCGTCGCCCACTGGAAGTCCATCCCCTAGCAGCTCCACATCGAATAAGTTAACAGCCGGAGCTATTGCTGGTATCATCGTGGGATCGGTGGCAGTAGCAGGCCTCATTGCTGTACTGTTGTGGCGGGGCCATTCCAGACGGAAACAAGAGAGGGCAGATGCAGCTGCGCAAGCCAATGCCGCTCTCGACGTTTCGCCTCCATACCAAGAAGCTGTGCATACCACTATGGTGGAAATGTTCGGGCATGAGCCGCCAGAGGTGAAAGGGAGTGTGCTGCCACCACAGGAACTTTGGCCAGGGAGGCAGAAGTACGAACCGGACGTGCACGAACTGGGAGCATAACGAGACCTGGAATTCGGTTGATATTAATCTACAGGAAACATGGGCGGAGCCTTTTGCTGCATATCTTTGTTTCTTGAGCGATTGCATGATATTATCTGAATACCCGTCATGGTTATAGGCACAAAAATAGAGGATTCGTTTAAATAGTCGTCTTATTGTCAAGTCAATACATTAATATCATGGAAACGAAAAATCTAGAGCGACTCTTGTATTGCTGATGAGCCACCGAGACCTGCAAAATCCAATGGTGGTGTGCTTCCTAGTAGAGCTTCGGCGAAAGCCATGCTTGATCTCGGATGGGTGAAAGATCTAGATATTCTAGTCTAGGAAAAGCATAAACAGGGCCACAGAGGAAGAGGAATGGAACGGGTACTTGCGTGTTGGCGTTTTAAGAGGGCCCTATACCGGTCCATTGGAAATGGCCCCATCCAGGGAGGATGCGGTGAGGACCGTTGCCGCCCATGAGGCACAGCAGCGGTTTCCGAAACCAAACGCTCGCCTCATGCACCTCTGACACGGATAGCCCAGAGTGTGATCTACGTTTGAAGCCCTCGCAATGAACAGTACGACGTTGCTTTGGCGCGCGAGAACAGTGGTGGGATTCGTAAGAGGTCATTTTAAAAAAATATTATACTATTCTGCAGTCGGCTAGCGTCATTCCATGACGTTAGTCCCGTGACCTGGGAGTTTTACACTGTGGCATATTTCTTCTTCATCCTGAACACATCGACTGGACCATGTTTAGCAACTCTACCAATACTGGAGAAACTTCTTGATACGTCAAACTTCTGCTAAGATGGATGGAATTCTATCTCTACTTCTGTCCTTGAAACACTTCCTGGCTTCTCCTTCGATCTGAATCCTCAATGAGCCGAGTGTCCGAAGACTGAGTAGGCGGCGCCTTATATGTATACTAGAAGGTGGGATTATAATTAGTCGTCGATCTCGGAGTAGGGCAGAACGGTACAACTTACTTCATCACATCTACCGAAAACCTGACACGAACACTCTTCAACCCCAGGGCAGTACACAGGTTCTTTACCGAATATGATATGCCACAGATATTCCATTATTCGGCCGCTTATGTCGTCAATGAGTTCCGTTTCTAGCAGCCATCGGCGGAAGTGCACGTAGTCCTCTAGTGGCCGCTTCAGAACCTGATCTCGAGACACAGCAAACTGCGCACAGCATGGGGTCCCAATGATATGAGGCGGCGCTGTGCTGTTGAAGAAGCGCTGCCAGACTTCTAGCATATAGCCTTCTACTTCTAGCTCTCCCTGTGGAGGTTGCCGGAACATCTGCATTTCGCCTGGACAACCGGGATTGTGGATGCATCGCAAATTCGCGTAGCCATTCCTCTGCACGTAATCGATCTTCAGCTTGTCCAACATGTTCTTTGCCATGTAGCCGGGAGCGTCATTGTGCCATGCCTCAGGCCATCCGCCGCGATGGCTGTGTAGAAATGCCATGGTCTTCGGAAGGTTTTGGTAATTGTCGATAATGAAGGTGAGGTAGGGCATCGCTTCCTTCCCTTTGTTGACAGCCGTATGTAAGGTTGAATTGTCGTTATCCACGGTGTATATGTAGCGTTCCCAACTAAAGAAGTGAGTCTGAGAGCTGTCCCAAATCTACTTGAATCGCATACTCTGGCAAGTCCTGAGCAACCCAATCAACATCATCTCTTGCAAGCCTTCCCATCACGATGGCCTTCTCAGCGGCGACTTTCGGCGCAGCTTTTAGGCTTGGCTCCACAATTTCGGCGCGAGCCTTTTGGTCATGCTGACGTCCGTAGTCATTAAGATATAATTGTTTGACAGGTATCGAAGAAGGATTTCCTGGGTTCTCGTAACATGAATCTGAGGAACGCCGAATCAAAATAGTGGCTATAATCAGCAGAAGGACCACTGCAACTCGGGATGGCCTCACGAGCATAGTGCGATGGCCTACCGCGAAAAAACAAGCTATGAAAATTTCATGAGAAGAGAATAAGAGGCTGAAGATTCTCAGATACACGATACGGCCGAGCAGGAAAACCAAAGAGGGGAGGTGGGACTGAAAGACGTCGGATGAGCCGGGCCATTGATGCCAAGGGGATCATTGAAATATAACGTGGATCCCAGAGCTCTCGAAGGCGCAGGTAGAAAGGATGATGCCAGAAAGCGGCGCGGTGCGGCACAGGTCCCAAAATAGCCCCTCAGGAAAATGTTGTTGCCAATAGCGAATTAGAATCACGCATCTTCACATAAGCGCCTAAGCCATGCAGCAAAAGCTACTCCCGGGGCGATCTGAGGGTTGACGAGACTAAACACCTGTTTTCTGGAACTCTTTTCTGCCTCCCGGCTCACTATCTTTCCCGAGTAGGTAGACCAACGTAGCACCCAGACGTTCCCACTCTTTACGAGATCTGGGCGTCTAAAAGTCTATCACCTCGCTCGGCGACTATGAGGAGTCTCCCAAGACAGTGCATCCTAACCGCCGTCTGCTTTGGTCCTGTACCGGGAATTCGGAGGGCGGATTGCGGCATGAACGGAAGCGTTTCAGATCATCCAGAATAGCTGTATGCGCCCCTGCCATCGAACCGGCCTGTTGGCCTCAAGGATATTGTGGCACAGCACGGGAGGTATCAATACGTGCACAGGTAACAACCTTTCGAACCTTCAGACGTTTCATTCTCATTACTTCCATCATGTATCCTCCTTACGCAAGCAAAATGCCATTACGGCTCTCTTCTCCCTCGCGAGGATTTGCCGTAAGAAAACCTCGAAACTCTCGTCCTATCATCATATCCGCACTCACTGTGGCCATCATATTCCTTGTTTGGTTTCAGTCAGATCAAGCCATACTTTCACTCCACAAGCCTACTTCGACATCGACGAAGTTACCGTCACCTGCGAACTCCACACTCGGTTTTGGCGCCATCATCGCAGTATCACCACCCAATTCCAAAAGGCGACACGGCCTCCTACAGGCAGCCAATGTGACAGAGCTCGACATCACCATCCCAGAGCTGCCAATCTGGACCGAGGAAGATGTAGAGCAATTCCGAAGCCAGCAAGCCCCAACCGAAATGCGGTTCCCGATGATCGCAGCATGGATGAGCCATTTACGAGTGCTCGAATGGTCCGCACACCACTCACTGACTATTCAAACACCGGAACTCACTAACATCAACTCCTAGGTTCCTCTCAACCGACCTAGAAACCGCAATGATCCTCGAAGACGACATGGACTGGGACATGCGCGCCCGCAGCCTCCAAGTCCCCCGTGCAGCCACCGCCCTGCGTGCGCTCTTCCACGCCACGCCAGAAGCACCACACAGCTACTATCCCCACCCCTCGCACTGGGACGTGCTGTACCTCGGTCACTTTGACCGCTGGGCCTGGTTCGGCCACGAGGCCGGCGTTGGCGTGCAACTGCCCTCCGATCTCCAGGGGGCCCAGGCATTCGCCGACGACACGCTCCCGCCGCGCTACAACATGCTTCCCAACGTCGCCTCCATCCTGACGGCGCTCGACGTCCCGCCCTTCACGCGTGTCGTGCATCCCTCGCGGCAGCCTTTTGGGACATGGGCGTACGCTGTCAACCGGCGCTCAGCGGCTAAGATCCTCTCCGATGAAGTCGGAAGCCCGCGGGCGCCGAAGTGGGTGTCGGATAGTTTTGATAACACGATGGTGCGGGCGTGTGAGAACGGGCTGCTGCGGTGCTGGACTGTGTTTCCGGAAATTTTCCATCACCGTGAAGGGCTGCTGACGAGCATGATCAACCTTCCGGATGAGTTCAAGCCGACTAAGCTTGTGGAAGAGTTGCGGAATCGGACTGGCGAGACAGATGGAATAGGGTGTGGATTTGCGAGTGGCGTGCTTAACTTTGGGGATGATAAGGAGGAGTTGGAGCGACTTAGGGATGGGGCGAGGAGGGGGGTGTGTATGAAAGAAGGGAGACATTGAAAGAGGACGAGAAGGGCATGCACTATATACTTTCATGTAACATGAGATACCACCAACTGAGATGTAACCCCTACTTGGTGGTTTGGATTTCAATCAATCATGTAACATTATGTCCACAAGCTAGTTTCTTCGATCTTCACTATGTTTCGCAGCTAACAGCCCATAGAGGGAAACCCGGGTTCTTTTTCATCATCTCACGCAGCAAACCCATCATTTTCATATCTTGTCAAGGCTCCAACCTTCGTCTGTAGCGATATTTGCGGTTACCCAGTGCCACCGTATTTCGTATTCCTCATACAGGCCCCGCACGTATCACGCCAATCACGCCATACCGACAGGGAGTCTTCTCTTGGCTGTTGCTTGTCGCTGTGAGAGAGATAAGAGCTTCCTAAGCCTTCTAATGGAAGGCGAGCAGCGATCAGCTCTGTTCTATAAATTATTATTGCATGCCTCGTCCGTCTCGGCCTATCGGGCAGCAAAATCCCCCCCCCCCCCCCCCCCCGAGTTCCAGGAGCTATGCTATAAGTCCCGTAGCTCTACAAAAAAAAACCATGGCCGCGACCCAAACCGATGCACAAGTAGCCGAGTTGTGCCGGCAGGCTTTCGAAGCTGAGCACTATTCAAGATTCAAAGAAGCTTTCGACCAGCACGGGAAAGCTACAATCGCGTTGAACAAACTAGCTGACGACGCCAAATTCCTCGATCGCGAGAGGAAACAAATTGCCCGCAAGCAAGCCAAGTTCCATAGCACAAAGCGCAAGATCTTATAATAGATCCTAAGCGGCCACAAGACAGGACTCAATGTTGTTCTGGCCTCCTCCATCAGTGCACAGGAAAGTTTAGCAATCCTAATTAATGGACTGCCATGCCTAAGTCTAGACAAAATTCTACTGTCCAAGAGCTTAAAACCGCTGTTTAATAAAGCGCAGGCTACCGCGCCGAAGGGACCGTGGTAAACTCAAAGCAAGTAATCACAGCATTTCTGGCTTCCTTGAAGGATAGCCCGGCTTTAATTAGCCCGGAAGTTCAACATATGCTCACATTGAACCAAGATGGTACCCACTCAATCCTATTCTACACCCCCGCTTTCGACAAAACCCACCCCAAAATCCAATTCCACGTGTACCTAAGCTCCAAAAACATCTTCACATTAGGCCACTGGTACTACTTCAAAGTTAAAGACTCCGGCGAGCGGCAAGCCCTCTACATCCTCCAAGGCCTCAAGCGCCGCCACTACCGAGTCACTTCAACCCAGCTCTCCCGGGCCACCAAATTCATTTCGCCGTGCGTTCAAACCTTCGTGACGCCAGTGCGAAGCACCGGCAGCCGCTACGACGGTGGCATCGGCCGGTAGTTTACCCACTTCACGTCCTCGTCCTTGCCGGTCGTCGAAAAGCCCGACCGCACAAAACACCTCAAGTGGGAGCCGCGGCGCCTGACCTGGGGCGGGCGCAACTTTGTGTAGAAGCAGGGGAAAAAGACGGGAAAAATGATGGATGAGTGCTTCGAGCCATTTGTGCATGCGCAGTTCAAGTGGGCGTTGAAGAAAACGTCGGTCGTGACGTTTCGGTATGGGTGTGGGGCTGACTTTTTATTCCGCAAGTTGGTTTTGGCCATAATGACTAGTTTGCAACGTCAGGTAGCTTCTTAAGGTTATTCCCTGCTCTTAAGGAGATCCTAACTTGGCTCTTCAAGACGTGGAAACAAACACCGCAAGTTTTTGAGGTATGTGATTCAGGATGTAAGCAGATAGCGTTCGCCCAAAACTAAGGGAATCGTATACGGTTCGCAAGAGCTATGGAAGAAAAGAAAACACGATAAAGCACCCTGAGCACTACCGAGAACCTGAAAAGCAAACCAAAGCACCCCCAGGCCTCAAATCCTGATCTCGTCGCCAGGCCGTCATCCGTTAGATACTTACTGCACGTAGAAAGCCAATGATGAGGCCACCAAATCTAGCCCCCGGGACATGTCGTGTTGAAGTTCATATCATACCCGGACTTATGAAGGGACAGACAATGCTATATCATCCCGAAGCCGCAAAGACCTTGGTTCACGCGGAAAGCCGCCGACTACTTACCAGCCACAGCCAGAAGTCGAAGGCTATTCGATTTCGGTTCGCTACAATGAATCCAGCCACAACTTGGCCTTCTTTGCCGTGATGCCTCCGAGACCAGCTACCGGCTTCCTCTTCGGAGGTTCTCTAGAAGATGATGCAGAATTCGGATTCAGTGTTTCTTTGGAAGGCGATGCAGAACCCGGATATGGATCTTTGATCCTAGCAGCATTTTTGCTGGGTGGGGAGCTAATTGAACAGTTAGAGTCCGAATCACTAGAGTCCCCTTCATCGGTCAAGTCGACTCCTGTGGGAATCCCGTAGTGACGGAAGGCGTTTGCCGCTCTTCTCTCAACTTCCGCTCGGCCCCCAATTTTCATTTCTTCTAGTAAGTCATTGACCTCCCGAATGAAATTTTCGTCGAGTGGTCGGGAAAAGGTCCATTTATCCCCCTCTGGTCCACGGGTGAATTCGCATTGCTGTCCGCTATCGTTTTGGTCGAATCCGGATTTCTTCTCTTTAGTAGCAGTCTCTTTGGATTCCTTCTTAGACGGCCTTCCTTTAGAAGCTTGCTCAAACTTTTGCTTCGAAGTCTCGGCAGCCTTGGGGTCGAGGATCTTAATCCCAGATCTTCGAAAAGCTTTTGGTAACTTGAACTGCGGCTCGCCAACCCACTCGCCGCGTTGATACGCCTCCTGCAAGCGTTGGAATCCAGCGTTCGTTGGGTTCATGCCAACCCAATTAGACACCGGTGCGTCGAGATACTTCAGGTCGTTAAGGGCGAGGACCGGAAGCAGGGTAGCATCACCCAGAGGCGACTCGCTAATTCCCAGAACCGGATCACTGACGGACATGGCACCTGTCTTTATATTCTTGAGAGAGTCAAAAGCTTTAAGTATCCAGTCATCTTTTCTGGACGCCTCATCGTCGTCTCGCTGCCGTTTCGTCAAAACAGTAAGGGGACCAGGCGTCTTGTCTGGGTTGATCAGGAGACTGAGAGGCGTGTCTGGATGAACTTGGCGATCAATCCATGGAATATTTGGACGAAGCAGGCTACCGATTGTCATATCGGGATGAACCGAAACTCCCCGCATTTCTGGCCGAATCAGGTCTTCAAAAAATGGACGGTCGTTAGAGTTGGTCCCGCGATTTCCATTCTCACTCTTCTCCTTGTATTCGCGAAGTTTGTCCGCTAATTCCAAGAGTTGGGCTTGCAATGCCGAAATGGAAATTCCATCGTGAGTTCCCAGCATCTGGCGGAGATCTCCCCGTATCTCATCCTTGAATTCTTTCCCAAGTAGACCAATGCCCATTCTCTCACAGGCGTTATCCCAGTAGCATTCGTTCAGGTACTTCCCGATGCGCCGGGACACGTCGAGGTCCGATTCTTCTCTGGGGAAGGCACTAATCGTGGTCTCCCAGAAATTGGCGGTAGACAGGTCGTCATCAGAGGGCTCAGTCCTAGCAAGATGGTCTTTCCATTCATCCGTCAACTTCCCGTCCTGATAAGGTCTTCGAAGCAGCCATTGGCTCCACCTCGTTACAATCTCTCGAGAGTCGACATGAGATACGGTAAACCACTCTCGGTGATTGTGGTGACACTTGGGGCAAAGCTGGACCTTTCGACAGGCCTGGAGCTCCGTATGGATGATGGACTCCAGTCTCTTCGCATGCGGCATGTAGGGAGTGAAGCTAATGATCTCAGGGAGTGCCAAACAACTAGCCAATTCGTGTGACCGATGTTCCGGATGATACTTTGAAAATCCAATCTTCAGTTCTGCTAGAGTGTTGAATCCAATTTGAGATCGAAGGATGTAAACGTAACCCATCCCATGATCTTGCCTTTCGCTTGGACTCAGTGGTGATTCCAAGAGCCGCCTGACATCTTCGTAAGTAGTTCTTTTGGTAACATTGCCCGTCTTAAACGGTCTAAGAGTGTAGTCTTGCTCAACCGAACTTGAGTCTTGAGAATGGTCAGATTCGCAGAAGGTGGAGAGTTTCGTCGCCAACCTCAGAATCCACAATCGGAACATTTTAGCGTCTTCGTATGTACGCTCAGGATTATGGACGCAGAGCTCCTTGGCTTTTTTAACATGTGTAGAGCTGGTGATTACGAAACGGGCGGAAAAGGTGTCGGGAACCAGCACGCCTTGACAGAATGCGCTTTCGAACGCACTTTGGTTTGATGGATTGATATTTACAAGCAGTGAGCAGTTGCACCGCTTCTTGAGTTGTTGTGTGGTTTCGAAGGAGGTTGAGAATGTCTTGTTCCGAAAGTTGATACGTAGAGTAAGCATAGTGGGCCAAGCCTTGTCGGCCGCTGAAGATTTGGGTGGCATATCAATATACGACGCTCAGTACCAAAATAGATCATGTGTAAGAATTTCTCAATCGTTTGAAGAAGGATCTGGAGGGAAGGAGTTGGGAAACTCTCCGCGGGGTGCTATTAATATGATCCGCCCGTGTGCTGTGCCGCAATCAGGCACCAGAGGTCACATTATCCCCTCTATACTGTTCCGTTTAGCTTATGAACACGAGCATGACTGAGATAACTGCCAGTTATGGTAGAGTAGCAGTATTATGCGAGCGGCGGGTGACGATGGACTCGGTTGCAGCACTACAACCTAGGATCAGCAACTCATATGCAGTAACGTATCAGGATGGCATGCTGATACAGGAGGAAGTAACAGGTAGTGCAACAGCAGTGCTGCAGCACGGTATCAGTACTGTATCAGGAAACAGGATGAAACAAGTAACGCGTCAAGAAGAGATACCACGTTATGCCCCCGGGGCCGGCCCCCCTCCTTCCCCTAGAATATAAACAACGAGCTAGACACCCATAGAAATCAGAGTTCACATCAATTTCAACCTGAGTGATGGCGTACACGAAGGCGATACAAGGCTGAAGGTCGTCCAATCAAGCACGTGACACTGTGCCAGATGCGGACTAGCCTCCTCCTCAACATTTCAAGGAGATCTGCCAGGATCATTCAGGCACCCGCCAAGAAATCAGCTACTCGTATCTTGGCGGATGTCTCTGCACCTTGCTCAGTGAATGAATGTTGTCGAGGGAGACAGCAGCAATCACTACATTAAACGCATATCGTCGAGAATAGCTTGCAGAAATTACTACATGTCTCTTTGCGAAGTGTGTAACGACATCTTCTCGGTTGAGGAGAGCAATCAGCCGCACGATTCAACCTCCAACCGCAAGAAGTGGGCTGCCGTCTCTGGAGGAGTGGGAAGCCATCACCTGGAAGGGCCGGCACACCAACTCTTCGAGGGTACCGCCATCGTCAGGCTCCCGCAGCTCATCACCTGACTCTATCAAGCCTCCAGGAGTCTGCCGAAGCGGGATGTTATATCTGCTCTCGAGTCTGGCCAATATGGAAAGTCAAAGAGCCATGCGAGGTTTCTTCCAAAGCTCCGGCGACCATGTTCTCACTGGGGTTTCCCCTGGGAACCGGTGGACCTGTTCCAGTTGAGAATGTTTTCTTTTGGACTGCTACTCCTCAAGGGAACGAAGATCAATTCCTGGCGTCATTTCATCTTCACGCTGCCCAAGGTAGGATGCGAACCTGAAGACCGAAACGCGCTCAGAATGCTGAGAGGACGTACAGAACTTGACCCGCCTCTAGACCACCGGGGGAGCACCAACACCGGATCACCCGAATGCCTTGAGCTGGCAGCCCGATGGCTGAAGTGGTGCGAATCAACGGCATGAGCACTGTCATAGAGGCACCCTACCCGTGGCTTTCGCGTAGTGCAAGTTTCTCGTTCCTCGAAATTTGCCCCACTTCCACCTAACTAGTTAGGTGGCCGCCATCTCAGTGCACCTCGGGCACGATTTGTGACGCGTGAGTATTTGGCGCCATAATGGGCAGCAGCTTTTCGTAGGGAGGGGAATGTATTGTTGTGGAAGGCTGCCAATGCATCCTGCACGCGCATTTCTTCTTGTTTGTAGGTCAAATCCATGATGTTGATGGAGCAATCACGGTGTCAAATAATTTATGTACAATTGACGCGTTGAGGTGGCCGGCCTTCCACCACGGAATGAACGCATCCAACACAACCTATTGCTGTATCCTCATAAGGAAGAGGGCCTTCTGATCTGGCTAAGACGACGTGATCAATTAGGAACGCGTGCTACTACATTAGAATTGGAGTGGGAGTGCAATTCAATTTTGGCCGGCCGCCATACCGGCACAGGCAACCCCCCCCTCTGCGGCGAGCATTGGACACGCCGTTTCC